GGTTCAGGTACAGATAGAGGTCCAAGGACTAAATATAGGTTCAAATAATGTCGAGTTTGGTGAATAAAGTAGGTGAATGGACTTTATTTTTCAGAATAAAGGAGGTTTTCTTGTTTGTTTGTTTTTGCCCAGAGTGAAAGTATCCTCTTACTTCACAGGTTTTCTTATCTAAATCCTGATTTCGGTGGGAAAAGAACCCACTGAGTACACTACAGGTAGGACTAGTGATCTCACACATCCGTGCACCACCTGGGAAAGTCTTTCCTCAAGAACTGTATCTTCAGCTTCACTGTCCTGACGCAAGTCCCTACAGAAGCTGAGTGAAATTCCGTTCTCAGACATAGATTTTAGGTGAGAATAGGGGATGGGTGGGAGGTTCAGTCAGTTGTAGACCAATACGTAGGGATAATCCAATTTATATATGTGTTCAAAATGCACCATTTATATTTTTATTTGTAAATGCACAGAAAAAAGGCTTAGAAGTATACCCATCAAACTGAACACATTGCTGAGGAGACCAATGTGTATGTAGAGGTGTGGAAATGAGGGTTTTCATTATTTCATACTGTTTTGTCTTTTATAATAAAAATTTATTTACTATAAAATATATTATTTTTGTAATTAAAAAATAAAGAAAATGAAATATAATTCCTCCCAATATAGCTGAGGAAGGCCTGGTTATGAAAATTCTATGTATACAACATTTACACTAAATCCAAAATATTTTAATTTTAAATACTTTAATTTTATAGATGAACTTTTTGTTTCAGGCAAATAGTTAATTGTGGTCCATTGACCCTCAGTCTAAGGACTTTAGCTTAAAGTGAAAAAGTGAAGAAACTTTTATATCTGTTCTTCACCAGTTCTAAGAAGGATGAAAGGAAAACAGGTAACATTAAATCTCACAGCAGCTAATAGAGACGTTGCAGACAATTGATGGTTTCTCTCTCCTTAGCTTAACTTCTTCTCTCAGAACTCCAGAAAGTGCAGCAATAATTTATAAGCAGCCCGGTGTCTTCTAAGAGCACTCACTGTGAGATAGACAAGTCCTCAACTTCCCACAGGACAGTTTATTACCTCTTTCTCATCCTGCTCCACTTCACTGCTGTGTTGCATGGGTGGATCATTCAGTGAAGTCCTATCCTGTGTCATCTCTAGGGGTGGTTACCTGAGGCTGGGGATGGGGTGGTCATCAAAGAGCACAAAGTTTCAGTTAGACAGAAGGAATAAGCTTCATTGATCTATTGCACACAGTGGTAATTATAATAAATAATAATGCACCATGTATTTCAAAATTGCTAAAAGAATAGATTTCAAATGTTTTCACCACAAAAAATTGATAAGTATGGGAGGCGATGGATTTGTTAATTAACTTGATTTAATTATTACACAATGTAAACATATGCCAAAACATTACATTGTATACCATAAATTTTAATTATTATTTGCTCATTAAAAAGAAAATAAAAAATGGTTAAAAAGTCTGTTTTTATAGGGAAAACTTGAATGTGAAGTCTGGTGTAGAAGATGAAAGAATGCAGTGCCCTGCGCTAAAGCATGTCACAAATTTCTGGCTCCAAGAGCCTGGACTCACATACATCACCATGACTGAGCCACAGAACAGGGACACCACCAAGAAATGGGAGGCACACATAGAGGAAGTTTTGTTCCTGCCTGAACCAGCTGGGACCCACAGTACAGCCCACAAAACTAAGGTGTCGGACCAAGAACTAGAGAAAGGTGATGAAGATGATGAGAGGGCTTATAGTAGCACAAGTCAGAGTAGTTTTAGAAACTGGGGCACAGGACAGTGACAGTGATGATCCCAGATCACAGAAAAAATGATCAGTAATGTTAGGGCCACAGAAGGGCAACCGGGACATAAGAACTGTAGGCATCGGTCTGGATAGAAAGCCACCTGCTCAGCGGAGGGCTACTAACCAGGAACCAGTGAAAGGACATTGCAGACAGAAAGTCAACTGGTGAGACAGGTGTCTTCCAGGCTCACAGTAATTATCAAATGCCAAAGGGAAACCCAAATATGAGAATATTTTGTGTGTCTTCAGAGAGACTAAACATGGCCTAAAACAGACTGGTAAGTTGAAATGGGAAACTATGAAACATAAATCTAAGGTTATGGGCTCAGTGGAAGAGGCTCTGGACTGAAAATTCAGTGATTGGAAGGCAAACGGTGATGCTTTAAATCAGACAACATAAATTTTCTATACTTGAGATTAAACTGAAGGGTGTGCAGTCAGGGTCCCCACATTCGTTCATATGACCTCAATGTTACTTACACACTTGAACCGTAAGACTGTGGTGGGTAAAAATTCAGATTAACAGAGCGAAGAAACGTGATATAGAAAGAACAAGAGTGGAAGGCAAGTGCATTTCAGCAGTGTTGTATTTGAATATGAGTCCCCCTTTCACTCTTGGTGAGAGCCAATGTAAACTCACCTCAAAATTAAGGAGAGAAACAGATTTTCTTTCAAATTCTTAGTCAAAATACAACTTGGAACTACTCGGACTGCTCTTTCTTCCTTTTCTGATTCAGGAGCAGACTTCTTGCTCTTTGAGCACCCTCTGTTCTAGCCTCACTGTTTCAAGTGCAACTCTCTGAGGATCATTCACTCCCTGCCTTGGGTCACTGTGGATCACAACCGATACCACATGTTTATTTTTCCTTTAACTGTAAGTATAGGAATTTAGAAACTTAATTATACCTAATGAAAATAATGACCAGTTACTTACAAATATTTTATCTTCTCTAGTGGGATATGAAGCCCACTGGCTTCTGCCATATTTTTATCTGAAAGATAATGCAAAACGGAGCTGCCCGCTCAGATTTTTCTGATTGGATCTTCAACAAACATTTGAGATAACCTGCAAGGAGGAATGGAAGCTTTGTAAAACAATTATATATTATTTTATATACCACTTTTTAAAATAAAATATATTTATAGATACAAATACAAAAGAAAGTTTGTAACCTTTTTTTTTTGGTAGCAACCCTACACACAATGGACATTGCAGCATGCAGGAAAGGGGCTGTGCCCTCTTGGAGATCTTAGGTGCAGGATTTTGGATTCCTGGTGACACCTACCACTGATTGAGCTTCACAAACAATTCTCTTTAGCTGTTAACACAAAAAGGAGTAGAGTGCCAGGAAACTCTCCCTTCCTTTTGTTATGCATCCCTTTCTGGCCACATATTGTCCCTGGAGGCCATCCCCCAGGAGTAGCAAGTTCAGTCACAGTGCATCACTCTCTCCCCCAGCTCTCAGTGATGATCTCACAGGAGAAGGGGCCCCCTGAATCCATCACTGAGACTGTCACCTAGTAACAGCCTTAATGGTTTGCTGGTCACCTGGTATCTCCAGGCTGGCTCTGGATTTTAAAAACCATTCCTATATTGGATGTCACCAAGTGCCTCAGGCTCTTGGAGTTCCTGTTCCATAACATGTGTTTCTCCACATGACAGTTACAATCTAGTTTAACAAATCTTCAAATCCTAACTAACTTTCCAATCACCCAATGAGAATAACCTCCCTGCCAGTCTTTAGTACTGAGAGTAGTAGTAGTAAACTTTGGTCCTCTACTCCCCCTGTGGATTCCTGGAAGCAGGAGCGATGCGTGCTGGTACCATCCCATGGCTTTCAGACTCGGTGAGTGTGACACCTGGGGTCTTATTTAACATGCAGAGCCTCCTCTCCTATTCTTGTTCTCAAGGATTTTATGTCCTTTCATATTTTTAAGTGGTCTTTCCTTTTCCCCAATAGATATAAACACTCTATCCAGGCTTTTTTTCATGTTAGATGACAGTTTTTTAGTACCTAGTATGTGCTGATTACTACGCCATCAGATTTCACATGCATTATCTCATGTAATACTCATAAAATTCTTTTGAAAGCAGCCTTGCCCTTTTAAAATGGTTAAACAGAAGCTTACAAAGGGGAGGAATTTAGGGTTTCTTTTCTTTTTACAAATAAGACGCCTAGAGTGTAAAATCACATCTAATTTGCTGATGGCTTTTACTTGCTATGCTATTCTGGTCATTGCTATGCCTTTCGGTCACCCTGGAAGACTTCTATTGACATTACTTTGGCCTCATTTCTTCAAGTATTCTTTTTATTTCAAACACTATACTTGATAAATTTGTTCAAAAGTTCATCACTGTGGCTTAAATTCCTGTTATTTAGGTACAAGAAGTTTTATTAAAAAATGAGTGCTCATTGCAAACAAAGATTTATTCAACATGATCATTGCCCACAAGGAGATTGCAGGATAATGAGCGACTTTGGCAACACTTCCAGAAAAATCCTTGTGCAAGGACAAAGCTTTAGATCTTTTTCATTCTTTGCTGCCTCAGTTGATCCATGGTAGTATCTCACATTGACAAGGGGGTGCATTTGAACTCTTGGGTCTGGTTCATAGGAAGGTGGGAGTCAGGTCACTTTCAGATGTCACCATCCTTTGGTAGATTTTCTACCACTTGCTTTAAGCTCCTTTTCTCTTTTTAAGCCGAGCTAGGAGGTGGCAGAGCTAGGAGTTGGCAGAAACCAGCCAGAATGTCTTTAATCCAAGTTGACAAGAGCAACGAGACTGGAGAACAGCCCACCAGTTGCTGCAGAGAATAACTTGGAGCAAATACTTCCCTGAGCAGCAATAACCGGTCCTTCTTACTGCTGTCCTCATGTCCTGTGTCTTCTCCAAGTGCTAAATTAAGGATACTCTAAGTTTTCATCTTGGAAGCACCACTGGCATATCTGGACTTTTTGGCCCTACTAGTGCTTTCATATTGCACTTGGAGAATCCCTTTTAACCTACTCCTTCAATGATCTGCTTATGGAAAACTTCTACTGATTCTTTGTTACTTTCATGATGGCTATGTAACCTCTTTGTTATAATCATATACATATATATGTTATTTTAATATAGATTATATAATTAATTATATATTGTTAATTACACTTATGTTGGGATCTCAGTAGTAAGTTATCTTCCAAATCAGTGCTCACCTTTTTTAATTTCAGAAGAAAAGTAACTCAGAAACCAATCCTCTCTGACATGTCACTTGCCCCAAGAAGACAGTCATTATTCTAGATATTGCAGTTTCAGATAAATCCCTCATGTCAGTTTGAATCCCATATTTTTTCTCACTCTTCATATTTTTTATATTTCTCTCTTTTTCCATTTCTTTCTCCCCCTTCTCTCTGTTCTCTTCCTCGAACTGCTGCCATGGTAATGACTGTGACTCTGTGACATCTCCAGTAATTTCATCTCCTCTCATCCCACTCACTTGTTAGTGAGTAGCTGAGCTCAGAGAGCAAAGCTCTGGGGGCCTGAATCATGCCATTCTGGATGTGCCAGGACAAGACTAAATTCAAGCCAAACAAGATACTTTATTGTTGAAGAGAAAATGTCCTTTGGGCCTAGAAGTCATTGGCTGAATTAAGACTACAAAAGGGAAATCAGGTGCTGATTAGGTTTCTGGATTTAAAATCTGGGAAGAAACTGGGCCTGGAACCATTGGCAGGAAGTGGTGCATCAGGGTAAACCTAAATATCCAGCCTGTTTTGTGTCAGGAAGGATACTGTGGAAGGTACTGCAGCTAACGCAGTATGATTGAGGACACCCAGGCCCCTCTCTGCACAACCTTCCCCAGGTCATATGTAAAGGCTCTTAGGGTTGTTCTGTCTCTTGAGGAATTTGGGAGGGAGAAAGAGAAGCGGTGTGCATACTTGGTCATGTCGTAACTGACTTTAGATCAATGATATCCTGATCTGGAGTTGGAACAGGTGATGCTTAACTTCACCATACTGCCTCTTTTCTCTCTAAACATGCCCTGTACATTAAATAATAAATTTCCAAAAAAGGAAATTTAATTTAATTTTGAGAATTTTCTGAGATTTTGAGAGCCTTACATACAGTATACCTTTAATATGACTTTTGATCTCTGTTTGGTTGGCGAATCCCTGACTCTGAAGAAGTTGGGAAGAAATAGAATTTTGTGGGCATGGGAGGCAAGCATCTGGCAGTGGCCCAGGGAGATCCTGGTTTATGCTGGAAAAGCCTCAGCAATACCCATGACTCTCCTCACCACCCCCTCACTGTCTACCTACATTCCCACTGTCTCTAGAACCCTGATCTGTGATTTCTTCCCCTCTTGAATTCTCCCCCAATTTTAATTCATTTAAAAATGCTTTTTTAAATTATAGAAGTTACACATTATAGGAAAATTGAAAAAATAGAAAAAAATGGTATAACATTAACATTCAGTGTTTATCCTTCTATTCATTTCTACATTTCACAAAATTGATTCATACCATACATGCTGCTTTTAAACATACTTCTTTAGAAAATACAAACTAGAGTGAATCTTTTCCCATGTGTGTAAATGTAGGTCTATCTAATCACTAATGGGAGAATAATATTCCATTCATGGCTACAGCATAATTTTTTTTTAAGCAATTCTCTCAGTCGGGCCTTCCGATTGCATTTTTTTCTATTACAAACAACTCTGTGATGATTCCCTTACAACAAATCTCTAGAAGTAGAACAAATGATAGAAATGTACACATAATATAAAGGCTGTTGTTTGGAATAATGCCAGCTTGCTTTCCCTAAATGTTGTCCTAACTTACATTCCAACCAGGAGGGAGTGAAAATGCTCATGTTTAGGCCAGCCCGGCTCTCTAGAAGTAGAACAAATGATAGAAATGTACACATAATATAAAGGCTGTTGTTTGGAATATTGCCAGCTTGCTTTCCCTAAATGTTGTCCTAACTTACATTCCAACCAGGAGGGAGTGAAA